ATACACAGCTTCTTAGCTAGAGCACACACACATTCTCACCCAAACAGACAGAAATGTCCCTTTTGGCTACAGTATAACATATCAACTTCAATGTATCTAACAGAAAAAAATACTAACTCAGATAGATCTACAAAAAAACGACAATAAGCTGACAATGAGTAGCGTGTTTGGGCCTACGGCTAAGACTGTCAATGTATGAGAGACCTTCAACATATGCAACATAATGTGGCAAAATCTTCACTGAGCAACATGTCACACTTTGTACGTATCTGCCACCATGTCTCACATTTCCAAGACAAGCTGTGATGTTAGGTCAAATATCCCCCCACACCGAAATCCACTAACATACTCTGCTGACCCTTGAGGTTCTCTGGAAATAGTAACAAAAGCTGCTTGATACTTCTGAGCCGAGAGGGACTGCTTTCATTTCTTATTGCTACACTACACTCTTGACTTGTCCTGTCATTGCAATCAACACTTTCAGTTGACACGAGCAACATGCAGTGAGTGTTATAAGCCACTGGCAGGGCACCACAAGTGTGTTTCCATGGGATCCCCCTCTGCTGTCATATATCCCAAATGAGAATATATTAATAACACTGACACCACCACAAGCCAAGTGTCTGGGATCCAAACTCATTTTCACTGTGTCAGGGGTTCATGCATAATTATCCGCTCCATCGACCTGTGAGACTCGCCTGCTGCAATCTTAACATCCCCAAAATTGGAAGAAAAAAAAATCTGCCTCCTCTCTGCACCCTCGTGTCTCTCAGCCTCGATCCCCAAAACAGATGCGACACATCACTTACACACACACACACACACACACACACACACACACACAAGCCATCCTGCAGGATAAAAGCTGCAAGCTCGCCCCAGGTCAGTCTTAACCCAGAACACAATATGAAAAGAACGACGCAGTAAATACACTACAAATTGAAAATTCTCTCTTACTCAGAGAGATCTTGTATTAATATTTTATGCGATTACACAATGCAAACTAGTTCAATTCAAACTTGCTTTCTGCAGGGGCAAAACAACAGGATGTTTCAAGCTGAAAAACCAGGTCAGAGGGTTCGACTGAATGGGTAACCAAGACTGAAGCTACAACAGCTATTAACACTACAACAACAGCAGAGTTACAGGCCATAATAATGCATTCAAATAAACAATAGGTTGTTAGACAGGCGGCTTGAATCCCAATTGCTCTGCTCAAGCAATTGTTTTTGACAGATGGAGCAGCGATGCCACACATCCTAATCGTCCTGATGATTTCATTAGGCCTCCCCCCTCTGCTGCAATGATTGCCTCAGGAAGAGTTCAGATCAAGAAGCATGCTGAAAGTTTTAAGATTGACCCCGGGGAACAGCAATCAGTGGCATTGTGTTCCAGGGATCCTCTCCTGTGAGCATTTGTCACAGGATGCTGGAAGTCATGTGACCTTTGTGTGTTTCACCAGGTAATGAATCCCTTGGGAGCAGAGTGGCCCGGTTGAGTTAGATCCCCCCAGCCATGGAATGCATTGATTGGATGCAGTGCTACTCTAATCAATCTATCACAGCAAATGAATGGTTTCAACGAACAACCAAAGCAACGACAGAGAACAGGAGGGGATGGACAAGATGCAGCGTCTTCGTCCTGATGAAAATGGTCGATGGGGGTTGATAAAGTTCGACGTTAAAGCTGTCAGGTGGGAGGCTGAGCGCGGTGGAAGCGAGGGTGGCTTTGTCAGCCGATTTCACTTTTAACAGCATACCTGTGGTGTGTTTTGACACGTTGCAAAGGACTAATAAATTCCTATAATATGCCCTCTGTTTCAAATAAAAATTCAAGCTACATCCTTGTGCTTGGTGGTTTTGTTGTAGTATAGTGTATGTCATGTTCTTGCGATGATACAGTGTCCAAATCTGGGCTTTTCATCAGATTATTATGTATTTTTCTTTCCCTTTATTCTCCTCTGGATGGCGACTATCTAACAAATAAGATGCCTAAAAGTAATCTTTCAGGAGCAATAAATTATTTTTCCCTCGCTCTGTTCTGATAAGGGTTGTAAACCTTTGTCAGGGTTCTCAAGCTTATCAACTCTGCTCCCTCATTCTGGTCACATACAGTACGCAGCACATTTACAAATCATAACTTACATCCAGTACTTGGATCTGTACTGACAAACCAAAGAAAAACAGCAGGAAAAAAGTCTATTCATTAAATGAAGATCCATGTTCCTTTAGGGGCTTTGTGAATTTTTTGTGTGTGCACATTTTTTCCAACATTCATTACCAAAAGTATTCTTCACAGTGGAACACTGGAAGCCCCAATTTCCCTTAAGTCATTGTACATGGGAACTCAGAGACGGTCTGGTAAACTGAGATATAGAAAGGGCACATTTTACAATCCAGCAGGATTCACATTTACTACTTTGCTCATAATTAAAGCATGATGTAGCAAACCACACAGACAACTTATGAAATATTCATCAGGGCTGCTTGAATATTAACTAATGAACACACTCATTACTGCCACGTAAGAGGTGGGATCGCGCCTGTAAAAGCACCAGAGGACCACAGGCCCTAACCCACTGAACTGTATTCACTGGCATGCGTTTGCAGATAGAGACCACTTGAGTTTGAAGAGTCATCTTATTGCTGAGTTGGAGTGTAGCCCTTGCAGCTAAGAAGCAGATGCTCTGGGCTCAGCTCACTGGCTGACCTGTGAGCAAAAACCAATCAGAGCCATAGACGGTGAACAATGTGCTATCACAGCGATATGCACTTGTTTTGATAAGGGGGTGTCTGCTTCAGTCACTCAAGCTTGTCAGGGGGCTTGCTGCAATATTGGCAGAGGGTTATGAGAATGCCTGTAGGGCCGCACGCAGCAATTCAATTCCATGTGCGCTGCAACCTCAGAGCTTTCAGGCTTACTAAATCAATTACACAGAGTTGTGGAGCCTGTGCGTCTCACCCACATAACACCCATTGTTTCAGTCCGTTTCTATTGGAAAGACCAAATACACATTCGCTGATAAGTGGAAGAAAAGTGAACAGCCATGCATGGAGCATGCATGGCTGTTCATTTCATATGTATCCAACTTTTGAGCTGTCTAGTGATCTTTGAAGCAGTCCTCAGAGGTCAGACATGAGCTACTGTAGCAATATCCACAAGTCACAAAGAAGAACAGCAGGACCTGAAGTCTTTGCATCTAAAACAGACAATGTTTCAAGGCCCAGTGAAGGCAGGAATTATTTTTTCTTCTCTATCAAACTGTGTCCTGGAGCAAATCTTTGTTTGGCGAGACATTAACGACAGACAAGGGAACTGCAGACCAACAGAGCCTGGGGGCATCAACACAGATCTCTGCTTAAAGTATGAAGGTCTGGGGGAAAAAAACAAAAGTGTCTATCAAGAGGGAAACAACACGAGTCCAGCTGCTCCTCACAACACATGCCCTATGATTGAAAACACACACAGAGTAATCGCACACAACCTAATGCCACACACACCTACTCTTATACACACAATTCAATAATGTTGGTTACATAAACATACAGGACTCCTACAGTAAAGCAATGTAGGGCTGAAAGCTGTTTAAAAAGCCCCCCACCCCCTCATAGCTGCACCATCCTCTCAACATGTCAACACTATAAAGGTTAACAGATTTGTCCTGAAATGTGACTAATTAATTAATATCCTAAATGGGTTATAAGGTCACCTAAATGGCAACAGCAACACCGGGTTTGTCGAACATCTTCAGAATTTCAAAATGGATGACAAAGCAGCAGTTTGCAACAAGAAAAAACAATCAGTTTCCTCTCCAGATAACTGAGTGGATGGAGGTTTAGGGGAGGAAAGCAAACGAGAGGTGTGAAGAAAGCAATGGCAGCAGGATGTTATTCTCTGGCTTGTGGCTTTATGTACATTAAAGCAAATCTCTATGGAATCAGTTTCAACAGCAGTGCTCATGGGAAGACATCTTTTGCATGCATATAACACTGATGCAGCCAAGAGCTACAAAGAGCTCAACTCTCTGTCTTATGGCAAAATGATGCACAGCCCAGGAGGCCCTGGAAACACAAATTAAAGTCGATTTCCATGAGAAACGTTGACTAAACAAACTGTAGCAACTGTACTCGTCGACCATACAGAGCCACGTTGCAGCAGCATACAGTATACAGTGACTCTACCTGCCACCAGCTGCCCCACCCTATCCAGTCGAAGCACTTGCCATATTAGTGGTATTTTGGGGGGGGGACCAGGGACACCATTAAAGGCTACTGGGTGAAAATATTTAGCTCTAATTGTTTTTTTTCCCACGTTTCTGTATCAAACTAGTGCCGATTTCGGCGCATGTCAAGCGTTTAAACAGCTTCACACGACACCGTGCCTCAGGGGAAACCTCACAGGCACGCCAACAAACTCCACGACGGTCGATATCTCCTGTGGCACGCGACTTGGCGCGCGCAAAACACAAACACACAGCGCGGTAGACGCACGAGCTGGGGATAAGCGTAAATCTTAACAATAAACGGGACAAACAAACAAACAAAAGCGTTAAAGTTTCAGGATTGTCAGATTTACAGATTACAGTTGTCTACTTCAGTGACTGGACATTACAGTGATAATGAAGTGCTGTATGATGTTTATAAATTTACTATTCTAACGAAAAGTCTCTAATATGCTTAAATAGTCTAATGCCATCTGCTATGTCTGTGTGTCTTTACAGCAGAGCAAAGATCTCTGCGAGGATTTTCTCTACACAGCTTTGTTATTTTACCATTTTTTAAAGTTTTCTTATTCTTTAAAATGTTTAAGGTAGCTGTTTTTCATAAGGAAATGACACACGGCGACGTTTATGTTGTTGTTTATTTTCAGCACCAAAATGTTAAACTGCACGTTACCCATCCCTGTGTCCTGTCCGCTCACAGCAAAACGCACCCAAAGCGCGCGGAGCTCCCCAAAGCCTTGACGCAGAGACAGCAGCATCAGCACCGGAGTGGACTCACCTGCAGGACACGGTGATCTCCACTTTGGTGGCCGGGATGCTCCCGCTGATGGGGTCGAAGTCACAGACCGTGGCCGTGGCCTCCAACTTGTCCATAACGTCTCCCTCCATGTGTGCAGGAGACGCAGGCCAGCTCCCCGGGCCGCGTGAGTCCCTCCGAACCTGGAGAGCCGACGGTGGAGAGCCGGAGCGCAGCGGGCGAGCGAGCAGCAGCGGATACGGTCCAGACAAACCTCCTAAGTGCTGTCCATTGGACGGGCAACAGCATGGAAAGTTTAATAGGAAAACTGCAGCGGCGACACGATTGATTTGACTGAAGTGGGATCACATGCCAGGACGCATCAGCGCCAACTCCGCTCTTCTCCAGGCAAAGAATGAGCTCCTCTGGCAGAGCAGCGTTTGAAAAGTAAAAGCTGTGAACTCCACCCCTCCTGTCTGCATTCTCCTACATGCTGGGCTGCGACTGGCACTCGTTGCAGATGCAAGCTATTGATCTATGGCTGGACGGATAGTTATTCTGCTCCAAATTGGTTTTAAGAGCCTCTAAGAGAAAATAAATAAGCACCGAGGGGCGAGAAAATTACATTGGACTGTATTATCTCTCTCCAATTTAAGAACATAATATATATAATATAGTTTAAATATTTTGAGTGGATTCATGGAAACATCTACTTAAATTGATCTTTCTGTTTTGGTTTAGGAAAGCTGCAGGGAAGATGAAAAATGACTTCAAATTAACGACAAAATTAAACGTAGTGTTGAAATTACATTAGTTCCTCCAGAACCACCATCATTTATTACTAATTGAAAGGCTGCCTGATGCTCTTTCAGCATCTGGACAGCTCCTCCAAATTTTTGCCGTTCGAGACACAGCCTTGTTTATCTATAGCCAATAAAAAGTGACGTTTGTGTCCCTACACCTATAGTATATTAATCTCTGGGAGGCTGTATGGGAGGCTGAGCTCTCCCAGGGGAGCCTCATTTCTGTTTCATCTTTTTACCTGATTGAACAGCTTGGTGAAATTCAAACCTTCAACCTGTCAAACAAATAATTCAACTGCTGTGGATATTCTGTGGACATTGTGTGTAAAGAGAAAGAGAGAGGGAGGTGGGGTGGGGGGTGACTCCATTCATCACAGAGACCAACTACCAGGAAATCTCCAAGGAGAGGATCACTGCACAGAGTGATTGCTTCTCTCTTGCAAAACGCTTTTTAAGAAATCACACCACATCGCTCCCTATGTTCCCCTGAAACTATTCACAACAGGTATCAGTGGTAAATGGGCAACCTGCTCTCACAAGGAAATGGCAAATAAACTCTCTCCAAATCATCAAAGGTATAAATTCTACCTCAATTTATGACATATGGAAATCACACATATGCTACTAACTGAAATGCCCACATATGTTCACACACAAATCACTCAACTGTGGAAACTGCGTGAGATCCCTGCTACAGAGGCTATGCATCACTCTCTGAGTGTCAATTCTGAGCAGCGAGCATTGTGGGAGGTCTACATGCACAGTGGCGACGCACTACTATAGTTTCACCTCTACACCTGGGAGTTAGAGCCAGGCTGATGCGGCCATGAGGCCTGAACATTTCGGACACAGCACCACCACTGCGCAGCTTCATCATTAGTCATGTTCACTCGGTAATTAGGCCCTGTGGTGGTCCTTGGTTGGTTGATTTTGAGCTCCCTTTAGTGCGCTGCTCCCTGCCGCCTGCTGTGAGTCTCTCCACTGTTCCCACAAGCAGCCGCCCCACTTCCTATAGCTGTGGCAGGACTATAATTATGGCTGTATGAACCCTCTCTGCGGGGAGTGTGTGTGTGTGTGAGCAGTGGTACCACCCAGACCTGTTCAGCATCAGTGGCAGGCCTCAACATCAGCAGGGGGACGTGGCCAGATGATGGGGTATAAACTCCAACATCACTGGTGTTCTGCTGCAACAAGAGCAGAGGCTGGAAGTACATTTATTTGAGTATTTTCAGGAAGTTATTTTTTTACATTTAATTTGGTATAACTTTGTAGTACTCCACAACATTTTAAAATAAAATATAAAACATTTTACTCTACTACATTTGAGTGTTGTTATTTTTCAGGTAAAGATTATACTTATGATAATGAAATCAAAATACACAACAGTATGTAAAGTATTTAAAATTAGTAGCCCACCTGGACCAACTTGCTTCGTTGGACGGTAAATATGATATTATATATAAATAAATAAATAAATATTTTTTTTTATCTAACTTTTCCTTTAAAATGCTACTAATACATAAATGTAGCAATAATTTAACACTATAAAAAGGGGAAATTCTTCTACTTTTAATACATGACTGATAAACTTTTACCTGTAATGCAGTACTTTTCTATTGTGGCACTGTTAAAGCTGCATCAATCAAGTTTTTGCCACCAGGGGACACATTGAAACAAGTGACCAGATGCACAGCCAGCACAAGTGTGCGCAAAACAGACTTCGGATCACAAAGGCAAAACGCAGTAACTACATATAACCTTTATCTGGCTACGTTTCATACCAAAAATATTACAGATAAACATACCAAATGCAGTATCTACAGTTTGCTCTACAGGTTGTTGGTATAAATTCAATATGACTATGAACAGATCATTTTCACTGTCTGTTTTAAAGGTGGCTGAAAAAAAGGGATCCATCCACTCTCTAGGGAAGCATCGCTGCAGCGACATCGGCAGTGCTGCCGCTCTAATGGTTTGTGTCCACGGGATCAGTCGTTTCCACACTTCCCATTGATTGTCTATGTGAGCAGCTGTGCGATGCATTCTGGTAGTGCCATGATGCATATCAAGAGATGGTGCGTCCCGTCGCCTGCTCCTTATTAGCATAAAGTTGAGGTCCAGGCTACTTTATGTAAATCAGGGGTGACTGGCAGCGCAACTCACTAAATATGGAACCTTGAAAACCTTATAAACAAACTGTTGTTGATCTAAAACGAAGACAGATTCAGCAACTGCGTAGCTAATTTCCTGCTTAAAGGCATACTATGCAGTTTTCCAGTTTTGTCAAACAGCTACCCCTAGAGTCGCTGCGGAGTACTTGTATTTAACGTTAACTGTCGTAAATACCACTCACCAGAGCCATCTCTATATACGGCTCTGCGTCTCTGCACTCACGGCCTGATCCCCTCCCCCCTGTATACCGGTACATGTTCAGTAGGATGGAAGCGTCGGATATCGAACAGGCAAAGATAGACGCCGAAGATTTCTTCCTTTGAGGCTGCTTCTTATGTCGCTGATGTATGTGACGTCGCACCGTAAAGCAATTTGTGATTCTCGTGAGATTAGGCGGGGCGCCATCTTCAGACTTGCATTGTCGGTTCTGCCAGCGGCGTCCCTCCCCAGCGTTGCTATCGGTTCTATTCGCTATACTACGAGTTTGTTTACCATTGAAATGACTTTGAAGCTGTTACATTAAGGTACAAATCTTGCATAGTATGCCTTTAAAATGTTTTCAGAAACACATTTCGGTGAACCATTTTCATAATATAAGAGAAAAGTATCCAAATGAGCCGCCATGTTGGTGTAGTTTGAAATCCAGGAGCAGAAAGTGTTTGTCCAGTCAGGTGCAGGAAGGTGTAGCCTTTTGTTGGTCAATATAGCTGCAAGCGTCCAATGCTGGGAAGTGGCGCAACCCCTCTCATCCAGAAACGCCCTTGTGGACACATTCCTTAACAGGTTAACATGGGCGCCAAAATAAAAAGAAGGACGTACCATGACACATACGCTGCAGACCTGTGCAGTGTGGCCAGAGATTTAGCTATACTAAAGCTTAGTTTAGTTATTGATTTATTTTTCCCTAGTTGTTGTCTGTAAATGAAAGATACTGTATCTAACCAGATGAACTGACACTTATTCAGTGTGTTATTCCACATAATCAAATAGTATGGCAGCTAAATTAAGTCATGATAAGAGAAAATTCTGTAGCTGCCATCTCAATCTTTGGCACTAGTGAATTTAATGTGATTTGGTGTAGTGAAGCTACCTTTAAATTGATTTCAACCTACATATCAACAGTACTGGGACAGTTGGAAACAAACACAGTAACACTTGATAATAACAGTCAAACTAAGACAAAAGCAGAGTGCAGTATCAGTAATAATCAGCATGAATAAATATTCAGAAAAAAACAATAATAGAAACTAACAAACCCATACATTAATTTTGCCTTGATATTTTAAACCGCTGTGTAGTTTTAGCCCCATTCATGACCTTCAGTAGCCTACAGTATGCTGCTATGGAAACCCCATGCTGAGGTCACAAATGGGCAAACAAATAAACCTTAACTTCAAGTTGTTTTACTCAAACTGGTCTCACTTGTATCTGAAGCATCAATGTGCCTGCGCTTATAAAGGTGTTGCTAAAGTTGCTAACTTGTTACCAAAAACATTTACACATCAAGCAGACACAAAGCAACATTAAAATTCATTTGGAGTCCTGTTTCTGGCCACCTGACAAATTAAAGTCCAATATTTACTTTGTCTCTTAGCTGTGGTATCCACCAACTCTAGACAGGGTAAGGCGGGTAATGTGCAGTTGGTTTATCAGAGCTTTTTTGCTGAATATGGCTGCCTGTTGCTGCTTGTAGTAGAGCTGAAGATAAGAGCAGTCAGGCTCAAACATATAGGAAACGATGAGCTACAAGAGACTCAAAAAGCTGCAGAGTTGGGTGATAACAGTGGATTTATCATTACAAGGGACATAACTCTAAGCACAATTTGTAATGCTGTGCTTCTACTTTTAATTGAGTGTTTTTCTACTATGGAACTGCTATGTTTATTACTGAAACTAGGGGGGCAGTGAAATGCACAAAAAACTCAAAATGCCCTATCTAGAGCCAGTGTTTGGTTTGTTTGCTCTGGGCTACTGTAGAAACATGGCGGTTCAACATGGTGCTCTAATGAAGATTATGATAATATGGAAAAGCATCTGGCAAGAGGAAGAGAGAAAACATATGTACACCTGCATCCTGCTGGCATTTCCTGTTTTTATGAAAAGGCGTAGAAAAGACCAAACACACTATCATCTATTTTCTGAAGATATTCCATGCGTCTACTTTGAAATGAACATCTGTGAAGCAACATACTGTAAATGTACCGTGGAAGAAATATTGGACGTAAATTCTCTAGATGATGAATTTTATTTGTTTTAGTTTTATGTTTTGTTACAGTTTTTCACTCTTGGTTGAAAAGCACACACTTTTCAAGGACAGGTGTGCCATCAGTGGCAAAGTTTGTTGTGTCCCAAACACAAACCCACCAACTACTGAAGGAATTAACTTAATTTCAGTATGCCTCTCCTTGCCCACTGAGAATAAGTTTTGTGTTATAATACCCAGACAGAGTTATACTTGAAGGCACAAATTTGCAGCCTGCTGGCATCAGACAACAGCAGTACAAGATCGCGAGGAAAATACTGACAGTGGAAT